GAGGTACCCCACTGGTGACAAGTCCAAGCTTCAAATATATTCCATAAACTACAACTAAGCTCTCTGTTGCCTGTCACTCAGCCACTGCCTTACCCATTCAACAATATTGGAATCCAAACTTAATTATTGCAGTTTATTGATAAGCCTCCTATGTGCAACAGTGTCAAAAGCCTTACTGAAATCTAGGTAAGCAATGTCTACTGCACCACCCTGATCTATAATTATAGTTACCCAATCAAAAAAATCAATAAGATTGGTTTGGCAAGATCTCCCTGAAGTAAACACATGTTGTCTCTGATCTTGAAATCCATGTGTTTTTAGATGTTCAACAATCCTATCCTTTAACTTGGTTTCCATCACTTTCCCCACTACTGAAGTAAGGCTTACTGGCCTATAGTTGCCCGACTCCTCCCTATTACTATTAACCTCTTAAGGACTGAGGCAAGTTCTGAACCAAAACAAAACCTAGAATTTTAGCTATATCTTTGTTCAACCATAATTGACCTGTTTCATATTAAGTGCACACACAGTTATTATACACCAACCCTGCTTTTTCTGTGTGTGTGCTTTGGCCACCCAGGAATTTTTTGTAAATGGGCACAACATTCGCTAACTTCCAATCTTCTGGGCCTACTCCTGTTAACAATGATTGGTTAAATAAATCTGTTAATGGTTTTGCTAGTACACCACTAAGCTCTTTTAATAGCTTTGGGTGTATTCCATCAGGTCCCATTGACTTATTTGTCTTTACTTTTGACAGTTGAAATAGAACCTCTTCCTCTGTAAACACACGTGTAATAAATGACTCATTTGTCCTTTTTCTTAACTGAGGTCCCTTTCCTTCAGTTTCATCGGTAAATACAGAACAAAAATATTCATTGAGGCAGCCAGCTAGACCTTTATCCTCTTCTACATACCTTCCTTCTTTTGTTTTTAATCTAACTAATCCTTGTTTAACTTTTCTTTTCTCATTTATGTATCTAAAAAATGTTTTGTCCCCCTTTTTTACTGACTGTGCTATTTTCTCTTCTGTGTGTGATTTGGAAGCTCTTATAACTTGCTTAGCCTCTTTCTGCCTAATCTTATAGATCATTTTGTCTTCCTCACTCTGGGTTTTTTTATAATTCCTAAATGCTAACTTTTTGTTTTTAACTATTTTGGCCACATCTGCAGAGTACCACAGTGGTTTCTTGAATTTTTTGCTTTTACTGACAAGCCTAATGCAATTTTCTGTTGCCTTCAATAGTGCAACTTTTAAATAATCCCATTTCTCTTGGACTCCATTTAAATTGCTCCAGTCTGATAATGACTCCTCTACCCATATTCTAATTTTAGAAAAGTCTGTTTTTCTAAAGTCTAAAACTTTTGTTTTGTGTGGTGTGACTCAGTCACTGTTCTTATATTAAACCACACTGACTGATGATCACTGGATCCTAAACTTTCACCTACAGTAATATCTGATACCAAATCTCAATTTGTTAACACTAAATCTAGAATGGCCTCTTTACGAGTTGGCTCCTCAATGACTTGTTTTAGAGACAATCCCAGTAGTGAGTTTAGAATGTGTGCTCCTGGCACAAGCAGCTATTTTTGTTTTCCAATTCACATCAGGAAGATTAAAGTCACTGTACTGTATAGTGTATATAGTAAGAAGCCTTGTGTTGACTCATCCTTTCAGCCCATTCGGCCCATCTAGTCTGCCCAATTTTCTAAATACTTTCATTAGTCCCTGGCCTTATCTTATAGTTAGGATAGCCTTATGCCTATCCCACACATGCTTAAACTCCTTTACTGTGTTAACCTCTACCACTTCAGCTGGAAGGCAATTCCACGTATCCACTACGCTCTCAGTAAAGTAATACTTCTTGATATTGTGAGAACCATGACAGAACCCCCTCCTTCTAAGAACGCCCTCCGGGCGTGAACAGGCTCTTCATAGTGGTAGTATTCATCGGAATAACATCCCTCGATATCAGAGTCCCCAGAGATGAGTTCCTTCACAGTAAGGAATCCCATAGTACCAGCTTCTGGTACCGCTGGAGAGTCGTCATTGTCTTTGAGGATCCGGGTACAGGTGGTAAGTATTTTGATTCCAGAAGGTACATCCTCCGAACTTTTTACTTTAGGTACATCAACAGGAACGGAGTTTGCGGCTTGTAATGCATTTTCAAATATTTCCAAATCCGTTATGCGGACTTTAGTACCATTGGAACCATATGTACAATCTGAAGGTAGGTCTTTGAGCAGACAGGAAGTGGTGATGGTACCGGTTTTAACATGAGTGTCTTCAGGAGAAGGAGCAGACGTCTCTGGAGCAAGAGATGGAGAATTTCTCAAGGAGGCCAAGCACAGACAGGCATGTCGGCGTCTTTGAGGTTTTACAGGCTGGCATGCAGAGCTCATAGGACGAAGAAAGGTGGTAGCCAATCGGAGAGCTGGAGGGCTAGGTGGGCGAACAGGGCAATAAGATTTCTCCACTGTAAAAACAAAGGCCATGGCTTCTCCTCCAATCTGTCTCTTCATGAGTCACTTTGAGCTGGACTACTCCTATTTCCATAGGTTCCTCAGAGTCAAGGAACCTCTGGAGTCTTCCTAGGAACCTGATGGAGTCTTCCTAGGAACCGGATCACAAGGAGGCAATATGGGGGAATAGTGTTGGTACTGGTTCTCCCGGTTTCTAGGAATCTTGGATCCTCTAGGACGTGCAGGCTTTGGCGCAGCGGTCTTACTAGAGGTCTTGCATTGTGAGTCCATAGCAGTCATGAAGGAATCCCAACTGTCAGGGACAGGACTCTTAGCCTGCAACATCTGGTGTGCCCATGTTCTGATCCGTCCAGACAGGTGGTTGACAGTCGCTCTAACCATTATGAAGGCGGTAGCATAAGTCCGAGGCTTCGAGGAAAACAACAATTTGCAGTCCACCTTAGGAAGGATGTACGGCTGCCATCAAATTTCTCAGGCATGGTGACGAACAGCTCATGATAAGCAGGTTCCGGGGCTGGGCATACTGTTTCTTTAAGAAATTAAACTTCTCGCTGCAGCTCCGAAACAGTCTTGGCCAGGCTGGACACTTGCTGGGTAAGCAGTTTGTACATCTCTGCAGACTCCATGATGGTCAGTACAATATGTCAGTCTTACCTGAGATAGGAGTCTTGAGCGCAAATATGTATGTTCATCCTTGTAGATAGACAAAGTCCAAGGTGACCAGATAAGAAGCCACCTGGACTGTGAATCTGTGCACGGGGGCTTAGGCAGGAACATTAACCGGGTATGAGGAAACAGACAAGGGCAAATCCAGAAGACTAGTCAGACATGGTTCCAAAGGTCAGGGCATGCAGCAAACAGGCAGTAAAGAGGATCCAGAAGCAGGGGTCACAAGCAAAGTCTAAAGGAACAGGAAACATATAACAATGAACTGACAATGTTCTCAGGAAGGGGCAGTGCTTAATGCCCAGCTAATGAGTGATCTACCTCAGGTGAACTTAGATGGACAGGTAGGAGCCACTGGTGAAGTTCAGCTCCCTAGTGCTGAAGAAAATGCCAGGAAAACAAGGTTAGAACCAAAGTTAAGAAGTGTCTCAGAGGCAGGAACTCAGGCTTCCCCTAGGTTTAACTCTCCTGTTGGGCACTTCTGAGGTGACCACGCCTGGCCGTCTGCATGTCACGGTGAGAACCGTGACACATGCTGATACAGGGGCAGCTGTGTCTGTCATTTGACCTAATTACAAACTTACAGCAAGAAGTAATTGGAACCCATTGGTTACATACAACCTCTTGTCACATTGGACAAATGTAGTAAATCTTTACGCCCTCATGTGATACATAAAGGAGATCCCCCTCTATATGGCAGAGACTGGATTAAAGCCCTGGACATGCCTCCCCTTGTTATTGCCCAGTGTACATTGCTTTCTGAGGTTGACTATGGGTGGAGTTTCTGATTTATAGAGGTTTTTCACAGACTCTCTGGGTACAGTAAGAGCAAAACTAGTCTAACTCCAATTAAAATACTGCCTGCCCTTATTTTTGTAATGCCAGATTAGTACCACTTGCCTTGCAGAAGAGTGTGGAAGCAAAGCTGGACCTTCTATTAGCCCAAAAGAAGATAAAGAAAAGTGAATGGGCATCACCTATTGTTCCTGTAAAAAAGAAGAATGGGGATGTCAGGATTTGTGGAGATTTCAGGATGACCTCCAATAACCAGCTTCTTGTGGATTGCCTCGACTTGAAGATCGTTTGAGTTCCTTAGCTAGAGGCCAAACGTTTACAAAAATAGACAAAGCAAGCTTACCTAAAACTGAAAGTACACCCAGAGTCACGCCATTAATTGACAATTTATACTCATAAAGGATTATTCCAATATAACCACATGGTTTTTGGTGTAGCCCCAGTGATCTGGTAGTGTATCATGGATTAAGTCCTAGCAGGAATACCTTACACTCAATGTCTACTAGATGACATGTTTATTACTGGTCCCACAGATGAACACAGGAACAATGTGGAAGCTGTGCTAGAAAGGCTCCAAACATGGGGATTCCAGGTAAATCTTTCTAAATTGTTTTAAGAGACAATTAGAATTCTGTGCCCATACTGTAGATTGAAATGGGTTCCACACTCCCAAAGAAAAGGTGAAAGCCCTTACTCATGCTCCAACTCCCCAAAATGTAACACAGCTCATGTCTTATCTTGGCCTTTAAAATTACGATCACTGTTTCTTACCAAAACTAGCACTTAGACTATATCCACTACAACACCTATTAGATGCAACGGTAAAATGTACTTAATTGGGGGCGGAGCTAGCTTGCAAGCTGCACGGTTGCACACAGCCTGAGCTCCGACACAGGGCCGGCAAATAGCCACGAATTTACCTGCCACTGCGACAAAATCTCCCCCACAGTGGTCCCAAAAGAGAGGAGTGGAAATGGGGAAGCAGTCCCGTAAGTCTAGGGGTCAGAGCGGAAGTCTTACCCAAGATATCGGCTTCGCAGTAATCCAGGCCCAAAATGGCGGACACGCTTCCTGACTCGTCTCGTGGTTCCACATCAGTCTCGGAGGATGAGAACTTTGATCCGGAGGAGTTCCTGACTCGGCCCCACGGTGGCAAAGCCTTCTCCCAGAGGCAACCAGACCCACAGTGGGCCACAAAAGCCGATATCACTACAATGGTGACAGACCTAAAAGCTTTTTTTGCCTCAGAAATGGGTTCTGAGGCAGACCTGAGCACCTTAAAGACAGACCTGAGCACCTTAGCGGGCAGGATCAAGGCCACAGAGGAGGAGACCCAAAGCCTCAGACTCAAGCAGGCCTCAACCAACACGCAAGAGGTATCAGACACATATCCAGCACTAAGTGGTTAGGTAGAACATCTAAAGGACATAACACGGCAGTGTAATCTAAAAATACAGGGAATACAGGACTCCATAGACAATGGAGAGCTACCACAATTCCTCAGACGACTATTTGCAGCCACGTTGACACCTAACCAGTATAAAGGACTGCAGCTGGATGGATTTTACCGGCTACCAGGAGGGTCTAAAAATAAGGCGACGGTATCCAGGGATGTTATTGTGTGCTTTAAGTCCAGATCTGACAAAGACACTTTCCTAACACAGGTTAAAGGCCAGTCACCGAATGTATCTGAGCAGCACTCTTTCAGTTTTTTCCATGACCTCAGCAGAGCAACGCTACAATGGTGAGCTTCCCTCAAAGAGGTGACATCTCAACTGCAAGAGGCAAACATCCAATACAAATGGAGATCCCCGAGGGCTCTTGTGGTAGAGAAACACAGCAAACATCACATGTTAACGGCTAAGACCAACGCAGACAGTTTCCTCCAATCTTTGGGATTGGCTACTTCACCCCAGCAGGTTCTACAGTCCCCGGCTGAAGTACATGCGACAAAGGACCTCCACAGCCAGATGCCCATTGACTGGGTTTCAGTCAAGTTGTTTTATTTTAAAGATACCGGTTATATTTGTCTTACAATTTTTGTTGCTTAATATGTTTTATACCTAATGTTGTTGAAATAGAAATAACTTACAGGGGTTGCTTGGCAAATAGGGAACAGGCCACTTTCTCAATAAGGTGCCATTTGGAGAAAAATTACCATTACCACCATCCCAAAAAATAAAGAATTTATGAGCCTGAAGTTTTCCAAATGCCTTCTATCACCTCCAATGCCATAATTTTAATCTTAAGTAAACTTTTTGCCTGTCTCAGAGTTTTCCTCCCCTTTTTCCTGCTGCAGTGCATGCTTGGAGAAGGAGGTACTGTACTGGTCATCAGAAAGCAGCAGCCATCTTGTTGGTTAAGTGAATTCAACCATCTTGGGAAGACACTGAGGCAATGGTTATAGGTTAGGAAGCTATATACTGTACATCAAGCATGTCAAACACGCAGCCCACAATGAATATCTTTTTGGCCCAGCGAGCCGCGAGTTTGACATGTTAAGGCTCTCCCCACACTGCTAAAAATTACCCAGCCGGGAGAAGAAGTTGCTGGCGGCAGCGAGGGAACTCCTCACTGCTCCCTCGCATGCGCCCTATTTAGTGATGCCGAGTGCCATAATATGACGTCATTCCGGCCCAGCATCACTAAGCTGCAGATGTGAGAGAGCAGTTAGGAGCAGGAAGGGAGACCCCAGGCAGAGGCTGCACACCAGCTAAATAAAATAATTTGTGAGTGCAAGAATGTGTAAGTGTGTGTGTCTGTCAGTATGTGTGTATGTGTGTCTGTCATAATGTGTTGTCTGTCAGTGTGTGTCTATCAGTGAGTGTGTGTCTGTATGTCAGTGTGTGTGTCTGTCAGTAAGTGTGTTGGTCAGTGTTGAGATGGCTGCAGCTGGACAGTGGAGGACCTAGAGGTGAACACCACGTCACATTCAGACGTGACGTCGTGCTCCACCTTCACAGGGTTTCAAAGAGTAGCAGGAAGATCCGCTTTGGCACAGGGCCATTAGGGGTATACCAGAGGCTGGACTCTGGAGTCGCATACTAGTAGCTGCTTGTTGGCTTTTTTTTTTTGTTTTTAAACAGGCCGCTTTTTAGTAGAGGGGGGTGCTGGGATTTAGTATGGGGGTGGCACTGGGATTTAGTATAAAGTGGGGCATTGGGGTTTAGTGCTGGAGTTTAGAATTGTCAGGGTTTCTTTGCTGTTTTAAACAGCCATCCTTCCTTTTTCAGTGTCTGAGGTTTCAGCTGTAATTAACGATCAGCTCCTTCAGTATGTTGCCACGGTTACTCACCTGAGAATAGTAATCAACCCTGCTGCTAAGCAGTGCAGCCTATTTAAGCAGCAAATCCCAGTACCTCCTTGCCCTTGCGTGGTTTCCTGTTCCCCAGAAGTCTCCCTGTTCCTGTGTTTCCTGTTTGCTCCTGGTTCCTGACTCTGGCCTTGTTCCTGACTCCGCTGCTCTCCGTTCTCCTGATCCTGGCTCGTCTGACTACCCGCTCTGGTGACTGACCCCTGCTTGCCTCCTGGACTTTGCTTTTGGTTGTTTCTTTGTTATTTATTAATAAAGGTGTTTTTGCATTTAGTTCTGTCTTTGTCTGGTTCCTGGTCCCTAACAAGAAGATGCTGTTTCTTTTGTTATACTGTACTTTTCTAAATAAATTTATGTTTCTATGAAAATTTAGTTTTTTTTTTTGTTTTTTTTTCGGCCCACATATACTTAAACCTTGTTTATTTGGCCCATGCTAGCCTTTGAGTTTGACATGCTTGGTGTACATAGTAAGAAAGCCTGGTGTTGACTCATCCTGTATACAGTAATTAATACACTGCCTTTGGATTGAGACCTAATGATTGTGTGTATATTTTATTGCGTAGACACTCGCAGTATTACATTCGCTAATTAAGGGAAACTATAATCACCAGAACTACAGCTTAATGTAGTTGTTCTGGTAAGTATAATAGCTCCTTTCAGGCATTTTCATGTAAACACTGCCTTTTCACTGCCTATGGGAAAGCATTGGGTTGGCTAAAAATCGGCCATTTTGATGTCACAAAGGGGGTGGAGCCAGCGCTGGAAATAAAGTGAGTTTTAAACATTTATAGGAAGGCTAAGAGGGGAGAGGGGAGGCAAGCTACCTATATGGTGGATTTAGCATTATAGGGTCAGGAATACATGTTTGCGTTCCTGACCCTATAATGGTCCTTTAAGCACCAGCCCACACTTTGGGAAATAACAATTTACTTATTTTACCTAGTTTTATTTAGGCAGGAACATAATTGCTATTATACAGGTGTAAAGATGTGTTAAAGGACCACTCTAGGCACCCAGACCACTTCAACTTAATGAAGTGGTCTGGGTGCCAGGTCCTTCTAGGGTTAACCCATTTTTTCATAATTATAGCAGTTTCAGAGAAACTGCTATAATTATGAATGGGTTAAGCCTTCCCCCTAATCCTCTAGTGGCTGTCTCATTGACAGCCACTAGAGGCGCTTGCGTGCTTCTCACTGTGATTTTCACAGTGAGAGCGCCAGCGTCTATAGGAAAGCATTGTAAATGCTTTCCTATAGACCGCTGAATGCGCGCAGCTCTTGCAGCGTGCCCATTCAGCGGCGGGAACGGGAGAGGAGAGCTCTCCGCCCAGCGCTGGAAAAAGGTAAGTTTTTACCCCTTTCCCCCTTCCAGAGCCGGGCGGGAGGGGGACCCTGAGGGTGGGGGCACCCTCAGGGCACTATAGTGGTCCTTTAAGCATGAGTTATATCAGTTTATTCTAATAAAATCTACACAAAGTTAGAGAGGAGAAAATAAAGAACGGTCTTCCAGCTTTGCTGGTTTGCCCTTTCTCTCCCTCTTGCACTTAATTTGGTTGCCTAGCAAATCTCTGAATGATAAACACTTTTCTCTAAAAGGGGACTGAACGTGACTTAGTGCACACGCTCAGATTTTAATCAAATCATCATCTCATTAATGGCTGTTGCAAGAAAGACAACTTTGCCTCAATTTCCAAATGCTTTCATCTAGATCTTTTTGAGTTATGTGGTTTGCCATAATTACAGTTCAAATATGTATGAGGGCACCTGCTGCACATTTTACTTCAGAAGGAATTCCTACTTTTTAAAAGAAGCCATGAAAAAGGAGCTAGAGGGAAAGTATAGAGATGCAAAATACCCACCTAAAATACACTGGAGCCCTTGGAATATAAGCAGTTTTTATAGACGTAATAGTGCTATATAAGAGTAATACAAAGTGTACTACAAAAAAAACCCAGTAAAGTTAAAACGTTTTATTTATTTTTTTATTTTTAATTAAAACATAGTTCTAGTGTTCCAAATAGACATGCAATAGATGACTATAAAACTATATAATGAGAGATGATGTAAATAGCACTGATCATTACAATGGCACCTGTCAAGAGATAGCATATATTAGGCAGCATTTGAACAGTTATTTCTTGAATTTCATCTGTTGACAGCAGGGAAAATGGGTAAACAAAAAAATCTGAGTACCTTTGACAAGGGCCAAATATTTAAGGGTAGATGACTGGGTTAGAGCATCTTCAAAATGGCGAGTCTTGTTGGGTGGTCCCAGTATGCAGTGGTAAGCACCTACCAAAAGTCTGGTCAGAGTGCCCATGATGACCCTTGCCCACCTTCGAAAGCACAATTGTTGACGTAAACTGGTCCAAAGAGCAATGTGAAAAGGTTGCCTGGTCTGATGAATCATGTTTTCTTTTAGATTAGGTGATGTGTGCGTAATTTACATGGGGACGAAATGGCTGCAGAATGCACTGTGGGAAGAAGGCAGGCTGGCAGAGGCAGTATTATGCTCAGGGCAATGTTCTGCTGGGAAACCTTGGGTCCTGGAATTCATGTGGATGTTACTTTGACTTCATGTACCACCTAAAGATTGTTGCAGACCACCAACACCCCTTCATGGCAATATTGTTCCCAGATGGTGTTCTTTCAGCAGGACAATATATCCTGCTACAAAAATGCTTAGGAATGGTTTGAAGAACATGGCAAAAGAGTTCAAGGTGTTGCCTTGGCCTCCAAATCCAGATCTCAATCCGATTAAGCATATGTGGGATGTGCAGGAACAACAAATTCGATGCATGAAGGCCCCACCTCTAAAGTTGCAGGATTTAAAAGATCTGATGCTAATGTCTTGGAGAGAAAAGCACAGGCTACTTTCAGAGGTCTTGTTGAGTCTATGCCTTAATGCATTAGGGCTGCTTTGGCAGCACGAGGGGGACCTATGCGACTTTAGGAACGTGGATTTAATGCTGTGGCTGATCAGTGTGTGAGTGATTAATCTATTAAATTGGAGAGCAAGGCGTACCTTGCAATGATTTCATCATTATCCTATTATCATTGGCGACACTGGGGGGGGGGAGGGAGCAGAGTGTGTGTG